GTATGTATGTATGTATCGATTACAAGTATACGTACGTCTATATAGCACAGAAAATTTATTTCTACTTAATATCACGCAAATGATACATACACGAAGCATGCGCCTTTGACGGCGCACGTGCTTTGCTAACATGTATGCGATGTTTTCCGTTGCGACCTCCGTGAGAATAGCTACTTGTAATTTTTTTTGCAAATAATGCTATATGAAGGCCACCCATAAAAGTTTGTATGGTTTGAACTTTCCGGGACAGTTTTAGTATTTTTGACCACGTCATAGTTTCGTAGCTATTTACACATCGTAGACTATTTATGCAGTCGCGACACTGCCACAAAGAACAACCATAACCCATTCCTATATCTAGCCCTACTAAAGTGAAAACACTACTGTAACCCCGTGTTATCCAGCACCCTTTTTGTCCCAATTTGAATCATGTGTCTGAGAGAGAGAGAGAGAGAGAGAGAGAGAGAGAAAGATCTAGTTGCACTGGCTCTTCCGGTGAGCGAGTGTTCTATTTAGGGGGCTATGGCGAGTATGTTTTAAGAACTACAAACTACATCCATATTTACAAGTGTTGTTCAAATATTAAATAGAGTAAATAAATATTTACATGTTTGAATCAAAGCCCTCTATTTTAATTATACATTTGAATGTTGGAATGTCTTGCTGGAATCTATTTATATTGATTTTTTAATTGTAATAAAAATACACATATAGAGTTATAGACTTCTCTTTTTATTTATTTTTTAAATGTTTTAAAAAAATGCGATTATTCCCATGTGAAATACGCATTGTGGTGTACACACTTTGAACCCGGGTCCCGGGGTCTTGAGGGCGATTTTCAACCCTACATAACCTTTTTTTTGGTACGTCAGAATTTTCTGAGATTTGGATGGTGTGCCCCAAATTCTGGCACCCATCCAAAAATGCAATAAAAAGTTTTCCGCAAATTTGAGTGGTGTGGGGTCATGTCCGAGATCACTATGAGGCCACAAACACCCATTTGGGCCGAAATGACCAAAACTTCTGGACGTCAGAAATTCCTGAGGACAAATGCTCGAATGGTTCTTGACATGGGGAATTCAAATCCGATGAGTTTGAGACTCTCAGAGTATAGAAACACATTATATAGGTCAAAAGTTTCCATTTTGGGCAAACCGCAAAATTCGTCCAAAATCTGCGAGGTCAACTTTCGAAATAATGGTGCTACTAAAAATTTGACCAGCTCACATTTTTTCAGGACGACGCGGGAAGCTCAAAACCGTCGAGAAATCCCGATTTGAGCCAATATTAGTGTTGCGTTATCAATATAAAGTCCCCGGGGGGAATTTTTTTAAAAAGAGTGTGTGTCCCAATTCAATATTTTCAATAACCCAAAACAATAAGAAACCAAGAGGCAGCCTCAGCCTCTCAGGAGTCAAAACTCAGGACTGTCGGTCAGTCTGACCATACATACAAAAAGTACCAAATGTGGTGTACATACCAGCACAAAACATTTGACGAAGACGTGCCATATTATATATTGTTGTCGTCCGCGCAACCTCGAGAGAAAGGCGGTCTCACATGAACATAAGGGTGAAGTACTGGATAATCGTCAAACGTGATCACAACTCCGCAAAGGAATCCTGTACACCACATGCTTCGAAGACTGAACGCGAGTATCGATCTGGAGTGAGCACTGACTACAGGTAGGTTTGCGTCAATACCACCCTTTCTGCCAGCAACTTTATTCGTTCCATACATATATACAAGTACATGCGTATATATGTGTATGCATGTTTGGATATCTGTATTAATCTGTGTATGTATCTGTACGTAGGTATGTATGTATGTATGTATGTATGTATTTATTTATGTATGCTTGTTTACAACTATATATATATATATGTGTGTGTGTGTGTGTGTGTGTGTGTGTGTGTGTGTGTTA